ACGTGTTACAACACTGTCGTGTTTTCTCCCTCCAAGAACCCAGGACTTTCCCCCAATCTGATTCCAAACGTCATCTGCCCTCTTTGAAACAAGTTCACCTTTGAAGTGAAGTGAGACTGATTTCTGTCTTCCCACCCAGCGTCGATAACAGTTCCCTAAAAGTAAAGTTTGGGTCATTCCACCAGCACAGGTGAGCTCATTGGGTAGAACTCTCAGGCTACCAGGCAAGGCATGGTCCAGGAGAATTGAAATAGGGGATCTGGCTCGTGCCAGTTGCTTGTCAATGAGTGGTAACTAGATGCTAGCATTTCCTCAGAAGTTGGTTACTGAGCTGTGTGCCTTCAGATGCCAGCCTGCCTATAGAAGAGCCTGAGCCATGGGAGGCCCTCAGCCTGTAACAGGTGCCTTTTAGAAAATCAGAGAACTAGAACCCAGACAGACCATTAAAATGGACCACTAACCTGTCTGAGGCAGACAGCAATGGCCACAGGGGGCATATGGATGGCAATGGGTGACACTGAGAGGACATAGCTTTCAGTTTCTTATTGTGATGTCCCAGTTTCCAAAAAGCACACAAATAGAGTACATGTAAGTGAGATAGAGCAAAAATGGCAGCATCAGCTATGGGATGACAATGAGAACAGCACTTTGAGGGGTTGGGGATGTAGCTTGCTTGACAAGAGTGGTTACCTGACCTGCACAAGCACTGGGTATGACTCTAGCACTTCATAGGCCAGGAGTTGTGGAGCACACCTGGAATGCCCACACTTGGGTGGTAGAAGCAGGAGGATTAGAGGTTCAAGGTCATCAGCCACATGGGGATGGGGAGGCTAGCCTGGGATACATAAAACCTTGTTTTAAAAATCCGGCTAATCAGCCAGGTGTTGGTGCCTTTAATGCCAGCACTCGGGAGGCAGAGGCAGGCAGATCTCTGTGAGTTCCAGGCCAGCCTAGTCTCCAGAGCGAGTTCCAAAGCTACACAGAGAAAACCTGTCTCGAAAAACCAAGAAAAAAAAAAAAAAAAACCCCGGCTAATTCTTTCAATAAAATATCACAGACTATGTTCCTCACTAGCCAGTGGTCTGCCCACATGAGACTTCTGGATTTGTTATAAAATATGGATTTCTTTTTTGAATGGCAGGCAGGGGTTAGAGAGATATCTTAGAGGTTAAAGCACTTGCTGTTCCTTCAGAGGGACAAGAGCTCTATTCCCAGCACCCATGTCTGGCGGCTCACAACCCTCCGCAGGCAGGACACATCAGGAATGTCTGAGGTCCAGTCATCCTTATGGATAAGGGGAGGCAGACACACCAGAATTCCCAGGAACTCACAGGCCTGCCTAGGCTAGCCTGTATAGAGGGAAAACAACATGGAGACTCTCAAAATAGGATGAAGGCTGAAGACCAACATCCAAGGTTGTTCTCTGACCACGCATGCACTCTGACATGGGAACACACTCATTCACACTAAGGAACACACGAGCACAGAAGGGCCTCATTCTTCCTTTGTAAAACAGGTGCACTGTCCCTTTCTAGGACCCTGAAGAAATGGTATGGTGGTGGCACCATATGCAGTATTCTGAAACACATACTACTCTGTAATTGGGAACAGCTGTTATCTCAGTCCAGTGTCACTCAAACTGGTCCCACCACCAAGGAGCCACAAAGAAATTCCCCTCTGACCACAACTTTCTCTTTGTCATGCTGTGGGGGGCATTCTGAGGGATCTTCCAGGACTCCTAGTCCCCCCACAACCCAAAAGGGTCCCTCGTCATGCACAAAAGATAGTATTTTCTATTCAGTATCCAGCACCCCCCCTCAAGGAGACACCAAGAAGCCTACTATCTCAAAGGCAATGTAATTGTTTGTTTTTTACTCTTTAGGGGCTCACCACTCAGCTCCCAAATAAATACATGGAGACTTATTCTTACCTATGAATGTCCAGCCTTAGTTTGGCTGTTTCTAGCCAGCTTTTCCAACTTAAATTATCTCATTTCTCCTTAACTATGTTTTACCACTGGGACTTTTACCTTTCTTTATTCTATGTATCTTATTTTCCTTCTTACTCTGTGATTGGCTGTGTGGCTGTGTGGCGGGCCCCTAGTGTCCTCCTCTCCTTTTCCTTTTCTCGCTCCTCACCCTCTTCCCAAGAGTTCTCCTCCTATTTATTCTCTCTGCCTGCCAGCTCCACCTATTCTTTCTCCTGCCTAGCTATTGGCCATTCAGCTCTTTATTAGACCAATCAGATATTTTAGACAGGCAAAATAACAGAGCTTCACAGAGTTAAACAAATGCAGCATGAAAGAATGCAACACATCTTTGGATCATTAAACAAATATTCCATAGCATAAATGAATGTAACACCTCTTAAACTAATATTCCACAACAGGCAAGAGTAGGAAAAATGACCTCAGTGAGGAAAGGGGCAGACCCCTGAGACAAGTTTGTTCAAGTTTCCTTTATTCATAAACCCATTTTCAGTTACAAGTCTTGGAGTGGACAGCCATTTTCATCTTGCCTGGGGTACACAAGGTAGATTCTCAACCTTCAGTATGTGTCGGTCTTACTGAAGGTCTTAACCTGTCCATGGTAGAGGGATTCACAGGTTGTAAGTATAGCCAGACCATGGGATGTCAATCCCACCAAAGAAATGTACTATTCCAATTCCAGGCAACAGGAGGCATGTGAAACACACATTGCTAAGTGAAATCAGCTGTGTAAAGGGGCTGCATCAGCTGATCACAAAATGGCAATGATCTCGAAGAGACGAAACTACAGAGATGGTGAAAAGGCCACTCTGCTAGGGGCTCTGAGAGAGGAAGAGGTGGTGCACAGGGGACTTTGGGTCAGCGAAGCTATTCTTTGTGATAGTATAATGGAGGATACAAATTACCACACATTTATCACATCCCACAGAATGTATGACCAGAAGGGAGAAAAAAGCCCTATGGAAAGGCTGGACTTTGGTTGGTAAGGTATGGTTAAGCAACTGAACAAGTGTGCCAGTTGTGGGATGTGAATAGAAGAGGAAATGTGGGAACTGCAGCTTCTGCTTCTTTTTTCTTTTCTTCCCCCCCCCCTTTTTTAAAGACAGGGTTTTGTGTATCTGTGGTGATATTTTGTTTATGCTCTAACAAATAAAGCTTGCCTGAAGATCAGAGTTAGGAGCTAGCTACTAGTTAGCCATAGAGGCCAGGCAGTGCGATACACATCTTTAACCCAGCACTTAGGAGGCAGAGGCAGGTGTATCTCTGTGAGTTCAAGGCTACCCTGGGCTACAGGAGATTGATCCAGTCTAAAAGAGAAACGGAGCCAGGCGGTGGAGGCTCACACCTTTAATCCCACTATTTGGGAGTCACATGCCTTTAATCCCAGCACTAGGGAGGAGGAGACTGGAGTGACAGACATGGCTGGGCAGACAGAGGAATATAAGGCAGGAGGAGACAGGAGCTCATTGCATTCAATTTGAGTATTCGTAGGTAAAGGATTGCCCCTTTGGTCTGAGGATTCGGTAGAGGTAAGAACTAGTGGCTGGCTGCTTTGCTTCCCTGATATTTCAGCATTAACCCCTATATCTGACTCTGGGTTTTTATTATTAAAACCAATTAGAATTCACATGACATGTATCCCAGCCTTGTCTCCATTCACTATGTAGCCAAGGATAACCTTGAGCTTCTGATCTTCCTTTCTCCACCTCCTGTGTTGTGGGATAGCAGGTACCCACCCTCAATTTCGGTTTATGGTCAGCAGGGATCAGACACAGGACTTTGCACATGCTTGGCAAGCACTAAGCCAACTTAGCCACACCCTCAGCCCTCTGCTTAGCTTTTCTGTAGACCTAAAAACACTCCAAAGAATAAGGCTGGGCCATCACCACCCCTGACTTCAAGCTCTACTATAGAGCTATAGTAATGAAAACAGCTTGGTATTGGGATAAAAAAAAAATACAGGCAGATAGACCAATGGAATCAAATCAAAGACCCTGATATCAACCCACATATCTATGAACACCTAATTTTTGACAAAGAAGCTAAAAATATACAATGGGAAAAGAAAATATATTCAACAAATGGTGCTGGTATAACTGGCTGTCATCATGTAGAAGATGGCAGATAGATCCTTATCTATCACCATGCACAAAACTCAAGTCCAAATGGTTCAAAGACCTCAATATAAATCCATCCGCACTGAACCTCATAGAAGAGAAAGAGGGAAATACATTTGAACACATAGGCACAGGAGACCACTTCCTAAATAGAACACCAGTAGCAAGACTCTGAGAGCAACAATAAATAAAGAGGACCTCCTGAAACTGAGAAGCTTCTGTAAAGCAAAGAACACTGTCAATAAGATAAAACAGCTCCTTACAAAATGGGAAAA